TGGAGTATAAGACGCTCTGGAGTATAAGACGCACCTTAGTTTTGGGGAGGAAAATAAGAAGAAAACAAATTCTGCCTCTGCCTACCAGCATCCATGGTATTCAGCTGACACATGGTAACAAGATCAGCCAATATATAGGCATAGCTACTAAGTCAGTAATGAGGGTTATTTGGACTGAAATTTGCCATGTTAGCAACAAAGAAACAGGAAGGAGCCTGGCTTAGCAGAGAACTGAAAGTGAAACTGCTTGTGTTTTGCTTGTATTTACTGCTACCTTGGAAAACTTTTGGTAATGTATTGCATATTATTATTATTTTGAATCCTGCTGAATCAGTTATTGTGCTTTCTGATTGTGATTGCTGCTGCAAACTCTGACCAGCCAGGTCAGCTTCAGCACTAATTGCAGCCTGATTCAGCACAACTGATTGGTGGGTGGATCGGACTGCCGGAATACCCCCAATCAGCTATTCCAGGCTGCAGGGATTGCCACTGCCTTCATGCCTCGCATTTTTGGCCTCTGGTGGAGTTGGGTGGGGTTACATTCGATGTATAAGACGTACCAAATTTTCACCCTCTTTTGGGGGAAAAAGGTGTGTCTTATACTCTGAAAAATATGGTATATGCATAGAGTCCAATTTTCTGAATTTATGGAATACAGTCCTAAGCAAGAGGATTAGATTCTTAGCATCTCCAGGTAAAGAGGAAAAGAAGAGAAAAAAAATTGGAGAAATCAGAAAAGAAAGAGACAATAAGAATTACCTATAGTAACCTTAGATGAAGCAATAATTGAATGGGACAGAGATATTGCACTGATGAACTAAATTCCTGTGCCATTAATAAAAAAAATATTCATCTTAAATTAATTCATAATAATGCTAAACAATTAATAAATTCTAGTTAATAAACCAAAGAACTCACTTCCATAATGTGATTTAAAACAAGGCTTTTCAAAACTAGTTCTCTGCATACCTGTTGTAGTCCACAAATCTGATCAACAATGGATAGAAGGCATAAAGGTCCCGGGCAAGCGTAGTGAATTCATCTAGAATGAGAAGTTCCGCCTCAGACATATCACCCCTGCCTTCTGCTCGTAAGTGTTCTTCATCAGCAATCACCAGAGCTGCTTTTTTCTTCAGTTTCTCCATCAGTGGAAGAAAATGCGTTTTCAGAAGTTCCGGCTTCACTTTGCTTATGATAGGCTGAGAAAACACTATGTAAATAATCCATTAATTTTACTGCATATTAGTAGGTGGAAAAATTACAATAAAAGATGTTACAGTCTTCAATAGTTACTACAATACAGTTTTGGTCATCTCTCAAGGAAATGCAAACCAACAGTTATACACTGCTCATCTCCATTCATTTTAATTTTTGTCAAATCCTGCTCATTTCTTTTTCTTCCCATTATTAAATCCACATAAATTATCTGATAAACTGAGCCTCTACCTCTCATATTCCATTTAGCCTTTTTAAAAAGTGCAATGCATCTATTGAAATTAGCTGGTTTTGCTTTTCTCAATTCCCTTACAATTTTTTTAAATGTAGACAAAAGTGAACCAAAACTTTCCCCTACCTGCTAATCTCTTCATCCAGGCTCCTTCATCTATGCCCAAATTGTTATGTATGATTTTTAGAATGTTTCCCAGAAGAGTATTCATATCATCTGAAGTCAATGCTGTGCAGCACATTTCACTCTTGTTATGATTGTTTTCTGGTCCATGTTCCCACCAATGTGACATGTAACTACAAAGCATGGGCAATATAACTTCCATTACATGAGGCATTTGTGTATAGCGAATGCCTGATTCAGCTAATTCTACAATTTCTTCCATTAGTTGTTCCAGAGATGGAATATTTGGACAAAGTTCCTTTACGCTGTTTGGTAAACTCAAACCTAAAAGAATAATATTGTATATTAACATAATACCATGTTTAAGAGTATTAGCAAAAAATCCCTTAGTTCATGCTGAATATGTATGCTTGTGATACATATTTCCACACATATGATTTTATACGTATATATTTCCAAACATCATTCATGATTTACATCTATTTTCTGAAATGTGACTCTGTATTGACATATAAAAAATAAACTTGAGTAGATTTTGATTTGCATTAGATATTTTTTTTAGCATAATCTCTTTTCCAGTATGCTTCCCTTCTTCCTTCATCTTCCTCAGACTCTTCAAATATGCTCTAAGTACAATGATTTTTCTAAAATATCTTGGGGGGGGGGGAATTGAGTTCAAGGACAAAAAGGAACAATGCTCTTTCAATTACATTGATGGAATAAGAATTCTACACAATTACATCTAAGTGGATTTCATTTTTTAAAAAAACTAGTCCCAAAGTTAAAGTAGATAAATTAAATCAGTGTTCTACCATCTTCCAATACATGGTTATAGAATGAGAATATAATGTGATTCGGCAGGAAGGGAGGGATGCAGCTGCTCCAAGGAACTTCTTTGGAACAGAAAGTGAAATGCTTCACAACACTAGTCATTATCAAAGAACAAAAAAAGTGAAAAGCAAATATGCAGTATAATTAATTCTGGATAATTCAGTAAATTCATACTGAGTTACCTGCTCTTGTTGTCTTGGTATTGTATATAGAATAAATATTGTGACTATTCAGATGAGTTTCTAAAAATGCCACAGGAAAGGCACCAGCAAAAGCAGCTAAACATTCACCTAAAGCTGAGCGTTGACTGTAAAGTTAAAAAAAAGACATCTTTTTAAAGTCAATCCAAATATAATTAGTTTAGTTTCATGTTAATAAGACTTCTAAGATGTTCAATTGGCCTGATAATTATTGCCAAACAATAGTATCTGAGTAGACACTAATACGGAATTAACTCAGATTATTACTATATAAACATTATTTATGTTTCAGTCATAGGCTGATTTTGGCTCTGAAACTATCTTCTTGATCTGACGGGTTGATTTTGCTGATTTTCTTAGATTTCTCAGTCGATATTACATATCCTGATACCTTTCTGGAAAAATTTTAGGAAGGATATTCCTGCAGTGGTTCTGCTCATATTTGAAATATCATCTCCCAAAGATGGTATTGGTATTTGAATAATAGAATAACAGAGTTGGAAGAGACTTGGGAGGTCTTCTAGTCCAAGTCCATACCATTTCAGACAAATGGTTGTCCAATCTCAACCAGTAATGGAGTACCTACAACTTCTGAAGGCAAGTCATTCCACTGATTGTTCTCACTGTTAGGAAATGTCTCCTTATTTTTGAGTTGGTTCCCTGCTTGATTGGTTTCCATCCATTCTACCTTAGGGTGCTTTGGAGAATAGGTTGACTCCCTCTTCTTGGTGGCAGCCCCTTAGATATTGGAACAGTGTTGTCATATTAGCCCTTTTCCTTCTTTTCATTAAACTAGACATACCTAATTTCTGCAGCCATTCTTCATATGTTTTAGTCTCTAATCATCTTTATTGTTCTTCTCTTCATTTTTTTTCCAGAGTCTGAACATCATTTTTATAAACTGGCTACAATATTCCAAATGAGGTTTATGTTCAACTCTGCAATGTCTACATTATAGAGTTCCACCAGATTCTAATGTTATACGCTGTTGAATATTCAAACTAATTTTGAATTTTTACTTTTAATCATATGCATAATTCTACTTCACTTTTTATTAGATTTAGGTGGGTGTTGAAGACCTGACTGAAGAAATGGATTGAATGAAGGCCAATAAAATGAAGCGATTTCAAGCGGGGGGGAATCAGGTTTTTAATGGATTTGCATATTCCAGAAGAGGTTGCACTTCCCTAATGAATCATATTTTCTATGACAACAAACCCATCTTTACTATTAGATATACTATATATGGATTCTTTGACACATGAAGAGCCTATTATTAGCACTTCACCTTATTTGGATAGAGATATAGGTAGTCCTTGTACAGTGACTGTTCAAAGTTATGATGATGCTAAATGAGACTTAAAGCCAGTCCTCAAAGTCGCAGTAGTTGCATCACCCCTGAGCTTGGCAACTCACATTTAATTATGACTGTTGCAGCTTCCCTGGTCACTTGATAGCCATTGTGATCTTCACTGCCAGCTTCCCACCAGCAAGGTCAATGGGGAAGGTGGAATGAAGTTGTAACATGACACTGTACCTAATAAACATGCACAATTTACTTAACTGATCATAATACATTTTTAATATTGCATATTTCTTTCTTACCGTTCCACATAGATACTCTTGCTGGTTCCCAAAGCATATAAGCTGGCCAATATTCTATAACAAGAGATTTGAACATCTTCCACTAAGAAAAACAGGAAGAAAAACTAAACAATTTTGTTCATTGCTTTTCATTGTTATCCACAATATAACTAAGAGACCACTATAAACATAAAAGAAAACAATTTAGAACAATTTGAAATTTTACATCTGGACATGCAAACATGCTAGCATTATTACAAATAGCTGAAGAATAGCTGAATCTGTCTCATTAAGAGCATTTAATTACTTTCATTTTGAAGATGGATAAATGCAATCAATATAATTAAACACATGAAGCTGGAATTGTTGTTTGAAAATTGTTTTTATAAACTCCAACAAAATCAAGGTACTGGTGTATTATTGTCTCAAATATTAGAAGCCAAGCTATAATGTTCTTAAACATAATTTAGAGTTGTAATGGTATAAATTATTCATTTTAATACTTACATATCAAATCTTCACCAAACTGATGCTGTCCAATGTGCTCAAATAATGAAGACAATACTGGCAGGAGAGCCACTGTTGTGTAGTTAATAATTTGTGTTACTCCTTTTGGCTGACTCCTGGTGTGTGTGAATTGCCCCTGCTTAAGATTTTCCATTGTTTTTTCAAGGTCCTCTGCAGCATTATCCAAAAATGTCCTCAAAGCCATCTTAACAGATTCCAAACCTGTCTTCATCACTGTCCTGTATATCGTTTGCACATAAAATAACATTATATTCTATTATGAACAAAATCCAAGAGTTTCTAGGTACCAAGGAACACAATTTTTGAGAATCATTACAAATGGTTAAACTATCATAAATAGACATTATAGAGCTATATAAATAGTTAATCTTGAACCTAGTAAGCAAAATTGTTAGTTGACATAATTCTATCATTGCTTCCTCCCTGGAAGGAAGATTGGCTCCATCCAGAAATTAATTAAAACTGAACTTTTAAAGGGATTTGGGGAGTTAGCTATGGTTGTATTGTTATGATTTATATTTCTATGGGAATTCAAGATAGTTTACATGAGAATCTTCCATCACTTTTTTATCTCTACAAAGTAAACTTGTCTGAGAGATAGTGACTAGTTCAAATTTACCCAGTACTATACATATAGAGTTGTGTAACATCTCTAAGTAGAAATTTAAAGATGTATATTTGGTTCAGTCTGATATATTGACTACAATGTATGCTGGCTCTTATGAAGCCATACCTCTATAATATGATAATTCTTTTGATAACATCATAATTAGATGCAAGTCAGTTCTGTGCCTGAGGCTACCCTGAAGCTGTAGCAAATATAGAACACACTAGCATAAGTGTTTATTAGAATACAGGAATCTCTGTAAGAGGAAAAAGCAGTATATAGCTCTAACAGTTGCATGTGTTTACAGTAAGCAACAATAAAGAGTAGGAACAAGCTGATTATGTCAAAGATGGACTGCAAAAGATCTGAAAATATAGTTTTAAGAATCAGTTCAGAGCATACAGTGTAAAACAACAAAAGATACGCTGTTGAATTATTTGTTAGAAAATAATTTTTTAGAATGGTGAAGATAGTGTTAATGCAACATAGTATCTAATATTTAAAGTTTCAGTAATAGCACCATACTTTTAAATACATTCAAAACATTCACATTATATGTAATGTTATGATTTGTAATGAAACATTTTCACCATGCAATTATCCTCCATTCTGAATTGAGAAAATAGTTACGATGAAGCTCATATATAAATATGAAATCTATGAAATTTCCAAGTAAACTTAAAAATACTAAATATGAGAAATAGGAATTGGGACACATAAATAGATGATATCTCATCCAATATTTTCAATGGGACAGAAGCATTGATAGTTTTTCCCTGTAATTATTAATCTTTCTGATTTAGTGAGTCTCCATTTATGGAAAAAGACAAATAATGTTGTCCCTATCAGTTTTCTGTAAATCAAAACAATAATTTAATAAAATGTATTTAGCAATTTACCTTGCATCCAAGGTCTGACCCAAGATATGAAGACAATTGACTATTGAAGTTGCATCATTTCCTAAGGGCACCAGAGGAAAGGAGAAAAATGATATTTTTTTGTATTATACCATTTCTATTTTTCACCAGTAGTGGTGAACTTATAAATATAATTTAATATTATATATTAATTAAAGTATTATTTCAATGATTTCAGCAGATGCAAAAAAGAAACATCTAAGATAAACAATGCATTTTCCGTGAATGTGATAAGCTTTGTGAATATTTTTTGACATTTCAAGTTTTCAGATTGTATTCTTTAAAAATTAATCTTTTAATCACATTAATTTATGTATTAAGAGAGACGTGTATGTGTATGTACTATAATGTGTCATGATTCACATCTGAATCTAAAGCTGTCAGAATAATGAAAGCAATGAGTCATGCAAAGATATCCATTGATGTGTAAAAGAAGAGGTTGAAGAATGGAGATGTCAAAAATAGATTTTAAAATATTTTGGGCAATAATAAAATTATAATGAGTGCAAGAACGTCTAAGAGTTTTTCTCAAAGACTTTTTTTTACATAATTCACAATCTAGGATATAACCCAGTAGACTATAGTTAAATGATTTTAGCCCTTCATACACTAAGAAAGTATATTTTTCACTGAAATTCATGGTGCTTAGACTTTTTGCATGAATTTTGCTGGAGTCACAATATAGGAAACATGACTCCAATTAAAGAACTGTTCAGGACTTATTTCTTTCTACAATTACATCAGCTGCATACAGTTTTGAGTAGAAAATATGATGGTAAGTGTAATACTTCTGTATACACTAAGGAATATCGTGCATGTTGTCTCATAGTTGTATTAATGAAATACAATTTCATTTATTATATTTATTTACATTTATATAAACCATATCATCTGCATCATATTTGAGCTGTATGTAAAATTAATTAGTAACATTTTGAATTAAAAATTCCTAAAATACACCAAATTCAGACTTCCATGTTGTCAGATTTCAGTGTGACATGATTTTTTCCCATAATGTTCAGATAAAATATCATAAAGGAAAGTTTAACTATATAAAATATGGAATGTCAAAAAACGTTTAACAGAATAAGCAGACATTCTTTACTAAGAATGTCTCAAAAAAATTAAATGATTTTATAATAATAAAATCCCTAAACATGGAATTCTATTGAACAGAAAATGTCAGAGAAAGTATAAATAAAACTTAAAATTACTAAATTCTTAAAAGGTCTATAGATAAATAATTAAGGAATGAACTATATTATAAAAATACTAGGTAGATGAATGAATGTTTTGTAGACGTTTTACTGTTATCTGAAGAATGTACATTCCATTTGTTTAGCGGTGTACAAAAAGTAACAAGAAGATAATGGTGTAATTAATGTCATACTTTCATATATATAAACATTTTGAATGCATTTATTTTTTTAAAATACCTTATTAATAAAAGTATTTGAAGTAGAAAATAATAGCAAAACTGATATTAGGTGACCTTAGTGAAAACCATTTCTCCCTTTCCAATTCTCACTTCTGATAAAGAGAGTATTTAGAAAGGGACATCAGGTAATGGCTGATCTGCTATAAATGCATGTAGAATTGCACCAACACACAACACACACACACACAAACACACACACACACACACACACACTGAGGAGAAAAGAAATCCTGTATTTGTGGTTCAAAAATAAAATACATCTAAGATGCATTGTTCCAGTAATTACAATAATATATTAAAGTTTAATCAGTGTATCTGTCATGCAAGAATGACCTCTTACAAATGTTTGAAGCATACCTCTCTTTCCTATTAGAAGTGAATTTTTTAAGGATGCAAGTCATGGTCCTTTTTTTGGATGTTGTGTGTGATTTTTATTTTATCTCCTTGTACAAGTATTCAGTATTTTGGAGTTTTTCAGCATGACTGAGCGTTACTGAAATGTTTGACTGCTTCAGGTATTTAGAAGTTACTTTAGAACTTCTCTAAAACTTGTAACTCTATGGAATATGCTGATATAGGTCCCTTGCTTTTCGTGAATCTTGTTTTAGCTTCTGTCAAACTTGACATAGGAGTTTGCATCAAAGATAATCAACCATTAACCATTTTCTGTTGCTCCAGGATAACTAATCTCACGTATAGTATTTGCTATGGTAGGCATTTTCAATCAAGCCATATTTCAGTCAGTAAAATAAAATTAGCAACAAACATCAAAGATAAGCTGAATTTCATTGCTTTTGCCTTTTCATTTCAAAATCTGTATGTTTAGTAAGGGCTTGCTAAGGTGGTCTATTCGGCTGATTTCTGATCGTTTTATGCAAGTCTGGATATAAAATTCCAATTGAAAAAGAACTAAACAATGACCTTAAGACCCTAGAAATCTGTGAATAAAATTCCAGCTGACAAAGAGCTAAACACTGACTTGCAGGCATTGGAAAAAAAAAACTGTAGAAAACTGCATAATCCCTAAATGAGATTATGTGGCATATATCCCATAAATAGATATATAGATATAGATATAGATAAAGATATAGAGAAATATAAATATAGATAAAGATATAGATATAGAGAAATATAAATAATATAAATAATATAAATATAAATATAGATATAAATATAAATTAAATAAATATAAATATAAATATAAAAAATATAAATAAATATAAATAAATATAAATATAAATATAAATATAAATATAAATATAAATATAAATATAAATATAAATATAAATATAAATA